CCCATCTAGTGATGTCCATGTGTAGAGTTGCCTCTTGTGTTATTGGAAAAGAGAGTTTGTGATGTCCACCTTGTCCCCTTGATAAAACTCTATTAGCCTTTGCCCTTCTTCATTTTGGTCTCCAAGAAACCCCCCAAAGTTTTCCCCAGGATGAAAGAGATCCTAAGGAAACCTTGGAATCAGAAATAAGGGAGTTGGAAACTTCTAATTCCCAAATAACAGCCACAGCTGAAGTTGCACAACAGGATTGCAAGCATTGTTTTTGCACCTCTCCCTGTGATCTTATGAAATGAGATGGTACATTGGCAAATTAAATTAAATTAAATTAAGTAAATGAATACATCTGTAGGATTGGGGCCAGTATAAAACGTTGGAAAACATTGACCAACATATGAAGAGCTAAAGCCTCCTTGTTTATGGCAAGGCAGAAATCAAAGAGTTTTTCTAAATACTATGGTTGGCTCATGATATTTTGCTGCCTAAGGGAGAATAACAAATGAAAACCTTATTCTGTTAGTGAAAGGGCCAGTCCTAGATCAGCTGTAGGACATCTGATACAGCTATATATTATTAAACTGCATACTACCATTTGTTTGTGGTGATGATGGCTACTGAATATCAACAAAGATCTGGGGATTTGTTTTAAACTACAGTATTAGAGTTGGAGATAAGGTTACAGTATTCATATTCGTATATGAATATCCCCATTCAGCTTGAGTTAGCAAGGATCCCGCCCCGCTCTTCCTTCCAATTGCCCTGGAGCATCGCTTGGCTAGTCACTAAGCAGCTTTTCAGAGAGACACGTCGTCCCTCCCTCTGCCAGGATTGGCTAGTCAACTGGGAAGAGAACAGTGCTCACGAGCAACTGGAAGGATGAGCAGCAGTGGTGGACGTGTGAGTGGACAGTCCAGCCCTCATTAACTCCAACTGCATGGGGGTATTCGTATACGAATATGAATACCCCATCTCTAATTGCAATTAATAATACCTGCTATATTTTAAATAGTTTAGAATCCAGGTAAATTGCTTTGGAACCCTTTTTGAGACAACAGTTTTCAGTTAGAATTACAGCACTGAACATGTTAAACAATAGTTTTATTTAAACCAAGGCTTTAAAATTAGAAATGGGCAAGAGGTGTTCCATGGTTTGAAGCCCTGCTTCCCGGTAGGCTCCCACTCAGAAACAGCACCCCAACTTCTCTGCCCTGCCTCCTCCTGGCACTGCCTTTGAGTGGGTGCCCACTATTTTAGGTGTGGGTAGGATTGCTCTGTTTTGATTTGTTTCCAGCACCTGTGATCGCTGGAATGGAACCCAAGTGGAGCTTGCTACCTTAAATTTCCCTTCCACTTTAAGTTTCTCAATATCATTAAGTGAATTAAGAAGGTAATGGGAAATTAAAAGCTTTATTTGGTCCTCAATGGAGAGGCAAGGGGGAAAACGCAACATTTTCTATTAAAAAAGCCTATTAGGGCAGTGCTGAGGGGGCTATTTTGATTTGTTTTTCTGGTTTTCTTAAGTAGGGTGGGCCAAATTTATTATTTATTTAAAATAATTTTACCCCACCTTTCTCCTTAAAAGGATCTAAGTTGGCTTGCATCGTTCCAGAAGATGGTCGTAACTCAAATTGATTGTAAGTCGAAGCACCATTTCCCATAGGAAT